TTTGTGTGTGTTTTAATAATCCTCTGGATTCTCTATTGCACAATGGAAAGGGATCCACGTGAATGACTGTTTATGCTTCTTACACTGGTGATGTGCTTCTGTCTTGTTGACTTCCACATTGAATCGGTCCTGCCTGGTTTCTGTTAGCTTCTTGAGAGAGGAGTTGCTTAAAGCCTTTCTTTCTCCACTGGGAAGCTGCAAGAGTGTGATGGCCATGCATGTGTGTCATCTTGTCCCAGGCTGTTTTTTCCCCAGTCATGATGGGTGGGTAGGTGGGAAGAGGAGGCGATTGCTACAGTGTGCCTGGACCTAGTTTCCAGTTACCAGACACATCATGTTTTGTTCTCAGAAAATCTTAAAAAAATTTTCTAGCTACCTTGATCTTAGGAGAATGGGATTATTTTTTCTATTTGTTCTGAAATGCATCCTTTCCTTCCCTTTCCCTGTGAGTCGCTTGGCACCAGCACCTGTGTTAGCTTTCAGAGTCCCCTATGGCATGTTCCTTTCTACAGAGGGCTCTTAAATAGCAACTCTCTGACTTAGAAGTTAACCTCTGGGGCTTATTTTTCTGAAAATATCTTGTCTCTGCTGTTATTTGAAAGCAACTCCAACTGCACAACTTCTTTGGTGCCTTTGCGGTTTTTTTTTTTACCCCCTTTCTTTATTAACTGATTCACCTGAGTTGAAACCATTTTTAATCACAGCCCTTAATTATTTATTTGCCTGCTAATATTGAAGTCTCTCTCCTCTATTAGAACATTAAATATTCAGTTGTCTGAGTGTCCTTTTGGAAAACTGGTTTCCTTTTTGAGGGATCTCAAGCAATCCTATACCAGAAATGATTTCACATTCTACAGTTTACAAAGGGCTTGGTGAAGGGAAAGGCTAAAACTCATCCTCTTTTCCTAAATACAGTGATTGTCTTATTTAAGTATCAATTGGTAGCTTCAATAAGACTTTTCCTGTATTTCAAAAATGGGCATTGATTTTTATTACTTCAGCTTTAGGGTGTTTTTTTTTTAAACAAACAACTGATTTGGAGTTCGCTTGGGGCCAAGAGTTTGTGTGTGAGGAGGGTATGGAGACCATGTGGGAAGAAGGCAGATTATTTGGACAACACTCTCAGGCATATGGTGTGATTCTTGGAGATGTCCTGTGCAGGGCCAGGAGCTGGACTCAATGATCCTTGTGGGTCCCTTTCAACTCAGGATATTGTATGATTCAGTGGGGCTGAGAGTGAAGAGGCGGGGCAGGGATGGAGAGGACAGCAGAACTAGCTAGTTGCAGCAGCAGTAGCACACCTTTAGCCATCCCTAAAATGTCTTCATTGAATGGATGTGTTTTCAAAGGACATAAATCTGACTGATGAGTCGTTACAGGTTCTTCACTAGACAGGCATTATGCTCCTACCACACTGCCTTCCCCTTCTAAACAAAAGGGGTGCAGGGATTTCTCCAGCAAGGAGGCTTCTTGAGAAAGGAGGTTTCCATGGAGACAGTTACTTGACTTAAAGTATCTGGTTAGGGCTCGAGAAGAAGCTTGGGGGGTAAACACCATCGCCACAAAAGCCACTGTTTTGCAAAGCAACTGCTGCAGTGTTTTGTTGCCAACTTGATGCCTCTTTTTAGGGGTTGGTTTTGAAAAAGTCCTGAGAATGTTGCCTGGTTAGGAATGTGAGGTGCGTAAAAGCCTGTCTCTTCTTAGCTGAGATCTCTGTTAGTATCCTAATCCATCTGTCTCTCAAAATGCGGCGGGTTGGTGTAAGTAGGGCACATTTGCAGCGGGGTACTGTGCAAGAATGGATTGCAATGGTCTCTAGTAGGTACTTGCTTCCTTAGAACCTGCACTCCTTGGCTGACAGCAAAATTGGTCCAGACCAGTTTCCAAGAATAATATTTGTTTAAACCCCATTCCTAATACAGAGCTTGCATAGTCCATTTGTATGGTGAATGGCAACATCTTCAACGTTAAAATTGTTAAAAGTGAAGCCATTCTCCATTCATCTTCCCACCAAAAAATGAAACTTTTTAATGGCTTCTTATTTCAACTGAGAGAGCCTGTAGATGTATTTTGGGGTTGAAAGCCCAACTGGATGAAGTGTATGCATAATGAATGCTCTAGGATCTCATAGTTTGTTGCTAATGACAACTCACAGTGGCAAAGATGGGATCTTGGGGAAGCAGCTGCCAGCTTTGACAGGGAACGGTCAACAATAACAGAACTGCAATACAGATGAGAGCTGGACAGAAACTTGCTGCCAAAATGGAACCTGCAGGGAGCAGTGGGAAGCAGATAGAGTTGGCCCAAGGGGTAGGATGAAGCAAGGTTTAAAATTTCAGTTACACAATTGCTGAGGAAATTCAAGGAGTGCCACAGCAGCCTGCTGCATCTCAAGGCAGCAGCGTCTCTGAAGGAGGAGAGCAGAAAGGAGCCTAGGAAAGGAAAATATACTAGAAGTGGAGACAGGAGCAGCAACATGGCTCTGAGTCACAGCCCGACAAAATTCAGCTGAAAAGGAAAAGTGGGAGGTAGAATGGAAGAGATGGCCTTGATGTGCCAAGGAACTGAAGAGAGAGGCCAGATTTCATGGGTATGTGAAATGGCAGAAATGAATTTAATTCAGGCTTCTGTGGATGACAAGCAGCTTGTTCCCTTCTGCCTTGCAGCATCGGCGCAGTGTCTTTTTGAGATCACCACTGCTTTGGGATCGTGTCAGCAGCTGCCCAGCTTTGGTCTTTGTTTGTAAAGAAGGCTTTTTGCTCTGACTGCAGCTTTCTGCTGTTGGTAGATGTCTTTGTGTCGTGTCCCATCTGGAAATAAGGGGCTGTTGCAGTTTTAAAATCTGCTGGATAATGTATTTCTCTTCATGCTGTCTTGGCGTAACTCTCCTGTACTGCTGGGTTTGTTTAATGTGCCAGGTCAGCTCAGCCACTTTAAAAATAAAATTGAAACCTTAAATAAAACCTTAATTAATTACTCGGTTCTCCTTGACTTGCTGTTTCAATGCCCCTTGCAGTGATATTAGAAATGAGTGGGGATGCTTGAAGGAGGGGTTGTGTTTCTCTGACCTATTTTAGATTAATCAGATCTTACTTGATTGAGCAAAGTGACTACACTAAAAGCTGTTGCAGCAAGTGTGATTTTCACCAATTATTTTAACTTGTTTGGACACGGAAAACAGACTGGGAACAGGACCTAGACCACAACTTGAAGAGGAAGAATCTTGGATGCTTGTTTTTCTGAGGTACAGCTTGGTCTGGGGCTCCCAGTATGGAGGAGGAAATCAGGGGAGAGTCTGGAATAGGTACCTATAACCACAGCATCACTTTCTTTCAGGGTTGGTGGGATGAGATTAATGACAAGAGCAGGAGGTTATCATCCTACAGACTAGTTTGCATAAGTGCCTCGTTGTCACAGGGAGCAGGAACATCATGATTTGGGGAGATCATCTGCATCACCACACCCCCCCTTCTGCACTTCATCTGCTTGTAAAACATCTGATCTGGATATTTTACTCTGAAGCCTAAAAGACCCAACCCAATGCTGAGAGGACTTTCTGAGGTCATCTAAGGAATGTGGGGCTGAGGAGCAGCAAGAAGCCCTGCCAAGCTGGGTGCTGAGCCAGGTTTTAGAGAAGGCACTGGGAGAAAAGGTAACACCTTGGACAGGGAACTCAACCAACTAGAATAAGATAATTCATGTTACTTCATTAAAATCCCCTCTGCCCAGAACAGATTCTGGAGCTGAAAACTGCTTTCCAACAGCTCCTTTTTCAGGAAAGCCAGCAGAGAGAACCATCTGGTTGGTTTTTGCAAAGATGAGGGGCCCCATTTCTTGAGCAAGATGAATACTGAAGCCAAACTGTCTGGGATTTTGGGTGTAGCATCCCACGTTGGGTGTCTTTGTCCCATTAGATGAAGGAAATCTAACTGGGCTGTCACCACCTCCCCTTCATAGAAACATGGAATGGTTTGGATTGGAAGGACCAATCTAGTTGGTCCTAGACATCATCTAGTTCCAACTCCCTGCCTTGGGCAAGGATACCTTCCACTAGACTAGGTTGCTCAAAGCCTCATCCAACCTGCCTTGAACACTTGCAGGGATGGGGCATCCACAGCTTCTCTGGGCAACTTATGCCCATGCATTCTGCCTAATATCCAGTCTAAACCTGCTCTCTGTCAAATTGAAGCCATGCCCCCTTGTCCTGTCACTCCATGCCCTTGTCCAATTTCCCTCTCCAGCTCTCTTGTAGCTCCTTTAGGTACTGGAAGGTGCTCTAAGATCTCCATGGAGTCTTCTCTTCTCCAGGCTGAATAACCCCTCTTCCTCCAAAGCTTCACAAAGCAGAGTACAAGGCAAACTTTGCTCCTAGTAATGTACCCCCCAAAGTGCCCCTAAAAATACTACTGCATTGGTGTCTGGTGGCTCTACCTCCTGCCCCATGGAGAGGGCACAGTCTGTTTCTAAATAGCTACCATTTTCCATGATTTCTGGGGAGAATTTTCTGTCCTGGAGGCTTCTTCCCTTGAGATGAACTTGGCTGAGCTGCCCAGCAGTTGATGGGAGAGTGGGAGATGTTGGAGAATGAATGATGTCAAGGCTTTAACAAATGGTTGGCATTGATTTTAGTGAAGTATAACTTGTCTGAGGGCTCTTCAGAGCTAAGACAACTTTTCTTGTAGGTGAATTCATAACCAAATTTAAAAATAAATAATTAGTGAAGGCTTATTGGATAGATGAATAGTTTTTAATTTTGGAGTCAGATAACTAAGTCTGAAGATGTACACGAGGTGATGAGGCCCTGTGTTAGACCAGCTGATCTACAGACAGGGGAGCAGGGGAGGAAAGACAGGAAAAAGCTTTGGGGAACACACAGCTTCAGGTCTGAGCCAGACACAGCAAACTGGCAGCTAAATCCTAGTGGGAGCAGTTATTCTGTCTGTAACTGCAGGTTATTAGTTTATTTGGGGGAATTAGCAGTAGAAGAAGCAATACACTTGTAGGTACGACAGAGAAGAGGTGCTCTTTATTACATGCTGCAGGGAAAACTGCAGCTCCTCACACAGAGGATGCTTTGCCTGGGTCCCTCATTTTCAGCAGCACCCGGAAGACATTCAAGTTTTGGTTCTGAAGCTCATTTTGAGGAGGATCTGTCTGTAGCTTGAACACGGTGAGCAGGGAGCTTGCCTGGGCTTGCCTGAACCTTCCCCATTCCCAGGGCTGTGCTGCCCCCTCCCGGCACTGAAGATTCCTTTCTTTTTATGTATCTCATTTTCCACGAGCAACACAAAAAGAAACTTATGTTTCTTTTGGAGGATGAACGCTGGAGGCAGCCGGGGCACATCAGCATGGATAAGGAGATTGTCCTGACATGGAATCTGGTGTGCTGGTATGCCTGTTCCCCTGTGATCACCCCAACTCCAGCTTTGCTCCTCTTGCATTTTGGTGTTATTATCTACACTTACAGGTTTCAGCAGCCTCGTAAGGCAAATGTGTTCCCCTGCCAAGGCCATGAGTTAACGTGTGAACCATCAAGGACAGGCCCTCTGCTCCCATCCCAGCACAGGTCCCTAATGCTGGGTCCTCTGTGTACATCAACAGGGAGGGTGTCTGCCAACACCCTCATGCTTCCTCAGGTCTGGTGGAACTTTCTGGTGGACCAGGGCTGCGCTGACATATCAGTTAAGCCTGGTAAGGGAGAAGGGGCACATCACCACTGCACCACGATGGCTGGCAACGTTGAGAGAGGCTGTGAGGTGCTGCTGAGCAGAGGCTTGTCCCCTCTGAATGCAGTTGGGGTGAAGTGAACAGGACTTGTCCCTCACCCCACACCTTGTGCCTTAAAACCACTAACCTGCAGAAATCTGGGGCTAACAGATCTTCTGGTAGTCAAGGTCAGGGTCCTTCTGGCCACATGTACAGCTGTAATGATGTCCAAGGCTCAGTAGTGCCTGGATCATCTGCCCCTGGAGGGCAGTGGGCAGGTAACAGCCCTCTCTTTTCTCACCAGTGGAGAGCGATATGCACGAAGGGGGAAGGGGAGGGAATCTTGTCTGGCACAAGAGGGGAGTGAACAGGGAGGCAAACTGCTCCCCCCAGCCCCACTCCCTCTCATTCCCCAACCTCATGGCTGCATGAATGGTGAGTCCACTACTTTCTTCTACTCTTCACACTTCTTAACCACATTAGGCTTTAACCCCACCTCTCACTCGAAGTCTTTGTGTTTTGTAGTCACTCTGAAGCACTCCGGGCTTTGGGAATAGCCCAGTCCAGGGATCGACACATAAGTTGTCCTATTTCTTTTGCCACCATGAAGAGTCCATTAGGTTGGTGCCAGCCCAGGAAGGACCGGCAAGAGATCAGTGGTAACACTGGGGCAGAGAGAGATGGTGGCGTCCCCACAGCAGGCACCATCCAGCTCAGGTGTCACCTTGTACCGGGCAGGGTGGGCTGGGTGCTCCCAGGCGTGTGCAAGAGCTTTGGCAATGTCACCACTGGCACTGGTGTGCTGGGGAAGGGAGGTCTCATTGATAGTTGCGCCCACTGACAAGCCTGGCTCTGCTTGCCTGTGCTACCCAGCCATGTGAAGGGTAAGAAGCACCCCCTGAGGTCTCGGGGCTCATCCTGGTGATGACAAGTGTCACTCAAGAGGCTCCATGGTGACAAAGCCACAGTACAAGCAGCATGGCCCAGGCTGGGAGACATGGAACACAGGAGAGTTTTAAGAGCCTGAGTGGTGGGAAACATTGTTGATTGTCCTAAATGGGACACTGGCTCTGTGTCCCCACAAAACTCATTGGGGCTCAGGGGCTCACAGGCTGCTCAGTTCCCTGAAGGGTGGTTTATAACCCTGGGACAGTGGGGGACTTTGCTGCAATATCCCCACTGAGGAGCAGCAGGTGTTCTCACCACTCTGGTGAAGAGAACCATCAGGGTAGTGGCTAACATGGGCCTCGAGATTCACCCACAAAAGAGGGGGATGAGGCAGGAGAGGGAAGCACAGAGCAGCTGCCTGTGTGCTCATGAAACAAAACTCTGACGTGTTTCACTCCTGAGATCTGTCACGGTCCTCCAGCAATGTTTGCCACATTATGTTTCTTGGACACAGAAACATTTGGCCAAGGGACGTTTCATCACACCCTCTTCTTCCTCACTGGTCCTTGCATCTGATTTACCCCTCTGGGACTCCCTTGGCCCCTCAGAGTAACTCAAATTGCATCCTCCTCGGTGCGTTGCGATTCCCCAATTTCTTCCAGGAAAGAACAAAATGATGTCATTTCATAAAGGACAGCCATAAAATATGGAAGAAGGGTGAGAATTGCCCCTTTCCCCCTTTACACACGGCTGTATCAGCCTGGCTGTGGTGCCAGCAGCCGTGGGAGAGCGGGCGGCGGAGTTGCTGCAGCAACAGCTGTGAGAGGCAGAGTTTGCCCCTGCCGGTTGCTTTGAGAACGATGTGAAAGCTCCTTCCATCCACCCAACACGGCTTGTATTTGTGCCGTGGGGCTGGTTCCCCACAGTTAGGCTGTGTGATAAATCCATCTGGCCCTCCTTTACTGTCCACCCGAGCGATGTTGCTCGCTCGGGAACAACACTCAGAGACCCTCACTGAACCCCAGGACTCGGGAGGACTTGCCTGGCAATTCTGCCTACACGAGGTCATTTTTTGAGTTTATATTCTGAAAATAGGGGTAAGCTTTGCATCTGGTGGGCTACATACTCCAAAGAAACTGCCATGTCTTTGGCACAACTTGTTGGGCTTTGCAACATTATCCACAGCCACTGCCATCCTTCAGGAAGGGACGGGAGCATTTCTTGGGACCAAATGGGCTTAAAAATAACTCTGATCAATTCAAGCAGCTGGAGAAGTGATGGTGAAGGAGATGTCCCAGAATGCAGGAGCAGAGTCAGGCCCTGTTTTCTGTGGAGGTTTGCCAGCATTTTGCAAAACCTTCTGCTCCCCATTTGCACGGTGCCTCTGCTTTACCCTGAGTCTCCCCACATCAACACTTTGCAGGAGCTGATGGTCTCCCTGTTTTTGATGCGTCAGAGCTGTATGTCAAAGAGTTCAGGCTGGGAGACGGCAAGAGAGACACCTCCCCCTTCCCCCCGCAGCCTTATCCTCTGGGGCTCGGTGTGAAGTTGATTGTCAACATCTTCATACTTGGACATGCTGCTTGTTGTGGTTCTGGAGGCGTCTCTGCTCTCTTGTGATGGGGCTTGAAGCTGCCCAGGGTCCCTTTCCCCCCCAGCCCATCCTCTGTGCCTCCAGTGACTGACATTTCTACTTTTTGGTGGGATACCACTTGCTGCAAATGGCAGACGCTGCTTGCCCATGGCTGTGGGGGTCTGTGCCAGCAGACCTGTGTCTGCTGTCCACCAGGAGAATAAGGCCTGAAGCTTGGATCAGTTCAGGTCACCTCCTTCTCCCTCCACCTCCCTTATCATTCCTGGAAATGCCATAAACAGTGCCATTTCTGTCATTAATCTCATGGGGATGTTGTTACCTGCATGAGTCACCTGCTCTCAAGGCTCAGCAGCTGTTCTTTGTGCACATGAGCAGTGCGGGGGGGGCGATGGGGACACATGCTAGACTCTTTATGCTGCCAAGGCAGTGTGTTGGGAGAGGGCAAATGTCCTGAACTGGGTAGGATTTAGGGTAGGAGGATGTGAATGTATGTATTTCGCAACAAAAGGCTCCATGGTGGGGCTGGCAGCTGGGCAAGGAGACCATCCTTGCTCCCTGTTTGTGCTATTTTCCCCCTGGTTTTATCTTCTCCTGACACAAACAGAGGCAAAACTCATCGGGTTCAAGGCTGACCTGCCCTGCTGATATCCTTGGAGTGGGTTCGTACAGCACCAGTCCCTTGCAGGCATTTCCTTTATGGGCTCATAAACTCCAAGGCTGGGCTTTCTGGCAGGGCTCCAGCTGATCCTTGCTTGCCCTCAGTCCCAGCTTCTGGTAGGTCTAGGACATTGGCTGGGACACTGCGTGAGGATTTTGTAGTTGAGATAAGCCAGGGAACTCTGAACTGAAGACACTGAACCCAGAGCAACATCTTCCCAGCTGATTTGCTGGGTGTTTGCAGAGCAAACTGTGGTGCTGAAGGCTTTGCATCTCTAAACCCAGAAGAAAGCAAAACCACAGCAATATTTTAGGGCAGAGAAGAGGGATATTTGGAGTTTCTTTGCTTGTAAGGAGGTAAGGCTATGGTTGTGCTTTTAATAACCTTTTTAATTTTTCAGGGCTCTTCCCTCCACTGTAGGGAGCTTTTTTGTGCTGATGATGTTACTCAACCCTGTCCTCTTATCCCCACGTACCCCTTAGAGTTCATCCACAGCTTGAGGATGCAGCAGCTGGAAGAACAGCAGCCTGGGTAGGGATGATGGTGAAGCCCCTTCAAAAGTTTTTTTTGGGAGTGTTGACCCTACTACTGGCTTCAAAGGCAGAGCAAAGTGCTCATGCCCTCTGGGCTCTCCACTCCTCCTCAAATCTTCCAGGCCATCCCCATTCCCTGAGTATGGACCTTCAGGACCTTAGTGTGGCCTCGTGATGAAGCTGAGCTCAACATGGCCACAAATACATAAGAAGAAAAATCCAGTGGATCAACTCAGGAGATTAAGACTGCAGGGTACCTGGAAAAGCTGCTGCTTCCTAAATCTCATTAGTGCCACCAGCCTTCTTAATCTCACCCTTTCCTGCCTTATTTATCAGATTTCCAGGAATCAGACCAAAAAGCAACTAATATTTCTAGAGGCTGTTGAGGCTGACACACAATCCTATGCATTTTTACTCCAGCCAGCTAAGTGTTAGCTGGGAAACCAGCAATAAAAACAGCTGCTTTTACCTCCATGTCTTGTGGTTCCTGCATTTAATTCCAATTCCAATTCCTATTCCAATTCTCCCAATTCCAAAGGGGGAGTGATGTTATTTTAGGACCTAGTGCAAAGTAAGGATTAGCAAGACTGTCTTAAAGGAACTCTTATATGCCTTCTGCTCATCATTAGGTTTCAGAGCGAACCAGGCTGTCATCTCTGTAGCTCATCTTCTAATTAAAAGTTTCTCTTTCTCAAAAACTGCTGGGCCATTATTTCTGGCCTGTTCTTGCTCTCTCTGTTTCCAAGAGCAGTCGTAGAGGGACCCCCTGGTCTGTCTTTTCATCTAACAAGAAAAAACTCAATGTGAGAAACCACAGGGATGAAAAAACTGCACCAGTGGTGTTTCAGAGAGTCCTCTGAAGCTGGAGGGAATGTTTTTTTAGCCTTTCGTGCAGTGAAGAACTTCTATGGAGCAGGAGGAGCTGCATGAGGTTGTACAGTTTCCTATCCTGAGAAACTTTATGGTGGGATTTTGCCTCTCTGAAAGTCCAGGGTGCATTGGAGGTTACAAAACACAACCTGCTTTTGTTGTACTGACCTATCCCCTCTCCCCCCTCAAAGGAAGTTATAACTCTAATAGGATTTAGATATTAAAGGCCAAAACCATGTAAAAAAATAAGTAAAATAAGCAGGTTTTGCACCGGGGTTGCCCACAAATCTGCTGCAGTGGATTCCTGCCTGGGGCTTAGAGCCGTGGAAAATATTTTCATGAAGGAGGTTCAGGAGCTTTAATTCTGAGGGTCAACGATGACACATCTTTCCCAAATATCCTTTGGGATACTTCCTCAAATCCCATCCTCTGGACACCTAATTCTGCCAAGGTGGGATGTGAATACCAGCCTCTCCTGTTCTGGGTGGGTGAGGGATAAATCAGCCAATCCCAGGTTCGTCTTCAAGTCCCTGGCGTCTCCTGGAGCAATGCAGCGAGGAGCTGCCTGTGTCCCATGATGAGATTTTAATTTTTCTAGCCTTGGGAACTGAATTTATTAAGCCTCTCATGGCCCCTCCTACCGTGGGAGGGACGGCTCCAGCAGCCTCCCTAATACCGGGTGTCACACAGCGGTGCCACCATTCGAGTCCCGGAGTGTCACAAGCAAAGGACACAGCAATCCAAGTGCAGCGGAAAACAAAAATAACCCCTCCATGTGCGTCACGGCAAGGTAAGCTACTTCTCCTCTCCTAACTCTCAAAGATGCTCCTGCCTGCTGAACTTCATCTCTGCCTGCTCTTTCCTGCTTGCCTTGAAAGTTATCACCGAGGTGGAGGGATTTTTATCACTTTTCCTTTGTTATCTTTGGACTTTTGAGTGTGTTTGTTGGGATGTGGCAGCGGGTTATCGATCCGGCTCTCGCCTGGGTTGCAGTGAGAAACAAAGCCCAGGGAGCTGGAGAATAGGGAGAAACGGTAACAAAAAGGGAGGGAAGGGGGTGATTTGTGAGCAGGGAGGTTTCTGGTGTTTTGCTGCGGAGGAGAAGGTGCTCGGCAGTCCTGCTTCACTTGGGGTCCGTGCTGGATAAGTTGGCTGTGACCTGTTAAGAGGAGAAACGGGAGCTGTGATGAGCCGTGAGCGGTGGGTGGCTGGTGGGGTCGCTGTAGCCGGGGCAGTGAGGAGGGAAATGTCGGCTGAGCATTTGCAATTCTTGGGATAAAGGGCTGTTTCCATAGTAAAAGGGAGAAAGGAGCCTCTCTCTTTCTTCCTCTGAACTCGCCTAGCGTGTGAACGGGGAGGTTGACTCGATAACAAATAACCCGTGAAAGGGTAACATCTGGGAACAGCTGTAAATAATCAGGACCTGGTTAGAAAGGCTGGAAGCAACACTATGGTCCACCATCTGCCCCGCCGCTGCACATCACACTGAGAGTTGTGATGGGCAACTCTTTGGAGAGCAGTTCGGTTCGCAGCTGAAAGCAGGATTTGGCCCTGGCTTTAGTATGCTGTTGTTGTCCAAATGCTTCCACATTATCTGTAGGTGTAACCACAGTTAGCAATGAAACAGGGGAATTTTCACTTCTAGGAAAGAGTGAATTTTAATTCAGGATCAGGCACTCAGCTGATGTGAACCTGGGGACCGGCACCGGGCCAACTTTGAGTTGCGAAGTCCAAACTTTGATTAGCTGGAGGTCCACCCACTAGTGCACATGACCTTCTCTTCACTTCTACACTTTCTTTGGGAATCTTGACCTCACAATGTAGCATGTCTCAGGACTTATCCCCTGATAAATCCTAAGAGGTGACACCAGGTAGAAGGACAAGAAAGACCAGAAATAATTTCCTACAGCTGCTCAAGGCTTTTAAGCTGCATTTAACGACAAAAAAAGGCATAATGTACCATGAGACCAGCTGGATTTTAATTAAAAAATGTTCTGAATGTGAAGGGAGCCAAAGCTGTAGCTTCTTTTCTAACTTTGATATTGAAATGTTTAAAAGGTGTGCAAGATTTTCAGGGCAATTTGAAATCCTTGCAGAGAGTACAAGCACAAAACTTGTTCTCACGACCAGTCTTGTGACTTCCTTATTCCATGACACTGGACCAAGGAGGTGACCAAATGGTGTCTTTTGAGCTTTATATATCACTTGTAATGAAAATATAGTTTTTTAGATTTGGTGCTTGTAGCTTGTTGTGAGACTGCCTACATCTCAAAAGGTAACTCTGTGAAAGTTGTTACTGTGCAGCTTTGCTTAGTGTGATAAGGTATCAGCCAAAATAAAGGAGAAAGTTGTTTCAGATTTTTTGTTTTGTTTTGTTTTTTGGTTTTTTTTAGAAGCCTGTGGCAATTTGACAGTGTGCTCTTCGTTTCCTTGCAGTGTGGAAGGCCAGAAGCCCTCCTTCTGGCAAACCTTTCTGAGTTACCACCCATCAGCTGAGACACACGTGCTCCACTCTGGAGCAGATCCTGCTCAGTGGCACAGCCCCAGCTTGGTGGCTTTGCATGGGGGACAGGAGGCTGCAGGAAGCTCTGGGGTGGTTATTCCCTGTAGACTGCAACACCATGCACATGTGCAGCAATAGCCTGGCTTTGGTCCAAACCTGATTCCATGTCTCGGGATATTTTGCAGGAAGAGGTCTGTACCTCATCTTGGAATGATCTCCTATGTTTTGGCTTGTAGAACTGCCCCAGAGACCCCTGTGATGTGCAACAAAAAGGGGTCTTGGGCTATGTTTTTGATGAGCAGGTAGGATAAAAAGTTGGGAAGATCCTTTGGATTCCAGGTCTTACTGAAAGGAAAGAAAGGAGCTGGTTTGGGTAGAGCAGCATGGAGACATGATTTTGATGGACTCTGGACCATGCCTTCATGGCAGGATGAGTCCTGAGGGTACACAGTCTTGGCTCCACATTGCAACCTCTGCTCCAGCTATGGACACATTGTGTGAGGGAGCTGAGCAGCCTACCTGCAGGTGCTCATCTCTTCATCACCTTGTCCTCATCCTGGTCTTCACTTGCTGGACACTGCTTTTCCAGCAGCATTCAAAAGAGGACCCACAGCTGGCTGATTTTTGGTGGCTGAGGGCCTGGCATTTTAAAAAATCCCAGTAAAAGGAGGCTGTCTGTGGGTCATGTTCCCTGTAATTCTCCTCACCAGCAGGACATTGGCATTTGCTGCACTTTTTGCTGTCTCCAGGAAAACAGGAGGGAAGAAGAAGCAGCAGTGGAATTTAGTGGATTGAACAGGAAGATGCCCCTGCCCATGGCAGGGAGCCATGGGCAGGGACAGTTGAACTTGAAGGTCCATTCTGTGATTCGTTGATTTTATGAACACACCCATGTCCTGGTCTCATATTGGTCCTATTCTCCTGTCACTGTTTGCCTTGCCAGTCTTTGTGGTGTCCCCAGGGAACATGGGGCATGATGAGAACCTGCTCTCAGGGTCAGGCTTGACTCTCCATCCTCCTGGCCTGGGTTCTTTCTGATGGTTGGGCAGTTGTAGTCTATGTGAATCCACAATGCAGTAGCAAGAGAGAGAGATGAGAAACCCTGTCCTGGGACTCATCCTCTGTAGGTCTGGTGCTAAGGGAAGCCTCTTGGGGCCACCACAGTGTACCAGCTCTTTTCTTTCATCAACAGTTGCATGGAAAGGTGACAGAGTAAGAAGTTAACTGTGATGGTGGTGCGCTATAATAGCAGCAGGCAGGGAAATAGGGCAGGGTGGGGTGGGGGAGTGTGTACATGTGTGAATGAGGTTGTGGCTGCTGCACATGGGGGCCGTTTTGACGTCAGCTCCAATGTTGGGTGTAAGAAGAAAGAAGCACATATCTGCAAGCAGGGCACGGGATGGGAGCAGCTCGAAGCATCACTTTATGCCCACACACTCAGGCTGGAGTCTCATTGCTTGTGCAGAAATGCTTTAGAGTCAGTCCTTGCCTTACTCTCCTGCTTCATTTCCTCTGTTCTCCAATGCAACTGTGAGCAATTCCTTGTTTCTCCAGCTTCCATCTGCTCCAATTAGGCTGGAAGCCCCTGGATGGTTTTCAATCCCCGAGACATTTGTACAGCACTGAGCCTCAGTGACAATTACAGGTCCGGTCCTCTTTGCTGCCGCAGCCCCGGCTGCCGCCACCATTCCAGTCTGGTCCTTTCGGCAGCTGCTCTTAATCACTGACCTTAGTTTGGAAGGTCTCCAGAGCTGGAGAAATGAAAGACACTTTGGAAAATGGGGAGGGGGGAATTGGCAAAAGCTGTTGCTTTTTAAAAGACTACTTATTTCTTAAGATGTACTTGCTACTGATTAACCTTTGCTCCATGATTGCTTTAATTGATTCATGCCTTAAAGCTGTCAGAGAGGTTCTGTGGGGTCATGGTGCCTCTTAAGTGCTCTCTTTGCCTGCAAAGCTTTTAAGAATGTTTTGGTTGAGCAAAACCCAATTCTTGCAAGAAATGCAGGTGAATGATGTTAATCCTTTTACCTTCTCCATTCCCTAGATTTTCCTGCCCTCATCTTAGTGCTTTATTGTTGTGACCTCTTCCTTCCCTCCCTGCTGCCAGTTGGCAACCTACTACAAAGCTGATGATGTCCCTTATTCCTCTGCAATTCATCATGAATGCTGTTTGAGGGTGGGAGGGTTGATTTTTTGGCTCTTCTGTGAGAAAGAGGCACTGAGGGGTTGGGAACTACTGCCTGTTGGTGTCTTACATGTCTTACAGTCCTATGGGACCGCCCATGGTCTCCATGACTGCTTTAAGTCACCCCATGTGCAAAATTTCTGTGGCTGTCTTTGTATGATAGCAGGGATAGACCCACAGGAAAGGGGGAGATAACCCCCTGGCAGTTGTGCCCTTCTTCTCTCCATGCAAAGGTGCAGAAGTTCCTTGAAGTTGAGCTGGCAGGGCCGAAATGGGCTTGCTGGGTTTAAGTGATGAATGGCCTTTTGCTACGGGCTGGGTTCTTGCCCTGGCACTTTGGAGGTGGTGTAAGGCAGTTCATCTGTCCTATTTAGACATCTGCCCTTGGATGAGCTGAGTTGTGCCATATCTCTTTGCTGGCTGTGCTGGGCAATCAGTGTGACCACTTGAAAACAAAGGAGGTGGTGTACAAGGCTGATGAGGAGTGGCTGAGGGGGCTGTGGATGTTTAGCCTGGAGAAAAGGAGACTGAGGTGGGACCTTAACGCTCTCTACAACTACCTGAAAGGAAATTCTGATCAGGTGGGGGTGGGTCTCTTCTCCTAAGTAACAGAATGAGAGAAAATGGCCTTAAGTTGCATCAGGGGAGGTTTAGATTAGATATTAGGAAAAATTCCTCATGGAAAGGATGGTCAAGCATTGGAACAGAATGCCTAGGGAGGTGGTGGAGTCACCTGGAAAAACTGTGTAGCTGTGGCACCTGAGGACATGGTTTAGTGGTAGGCTTGACAGTGCTGGATTAATAGTTGGACTTGGTGATGTCAGAGGACCTACCTATTCCAATCCTAGTGATTCCGTGATTCTAACTGCTCTTCCAGGAAGACCAACGGAGGAATGAAAACACCCACCCCAAGCTCTGCATCTAAATAAATCACTCCTGTCCTCCAGGATGCTGGGATGTGAGGGCTAATGGGTGCTGATCCAGCAGATCTGACTGGGCTGTGTGACCTGGGCCCTGAGACGGTCCATCAAGGGTCTGCCCATGGGTTGTCTACACTGATCTTCTTGCCTTGCTTAAACAAACTCCATGTTTCACATGGATGAAAATCAAATGTGCCACACAATCCTCATCTGCTGCTCTTGTTGCACTGTTGGCACAAATCTAAATTGGGAAACTGAGGCTCTGGGTGATGGCTCTGCTGAGCCCATAGTTTGAGTTAGGTCAGGAGATTTGTGTGCCAGACTATCCTTTTGCTCTGAAATGAGTTCCAAACTTTTCTGACATGGCTTATGCAGAAATATGGTAGTGTTTAATTAGCTGGAAGGGATTTTTCTCTGGGAACAGCAGAACCACATTCTTATGGCACAAAAATGGACTGGCCCTTATGCATTTGGATACTGTCAACTAAATGGAAAAATTTCTGGCTGGTGACATGGAAAGCACCCTTTCCTCCCTTTTCTTTTCCTTCTTGCAGGGTGTTTTGCTCCAAGGCTTGAACTTTAACACCCACAGCTTGGGGGAGGGCCAGAGCCGGTGTCTTCATTGCAGTGGCCATCCAGGGCCCCTGTCCTTTGTCCGGGCTGAATAGTGCTCTGCAGAGCTGTTGGGCTGAGGTATGCGATCTGCAAACCTCTTTTCTTTCCCCCTCTTGGCTCAGAGGCAAAGTCTTCCCTCAGATATGATGCTTGTGGTGGTGTGCAGCCCTCGGTGGGGCTATGGGGCCAGAGGGGGTCCCCCACGCTGTGTCCCAATCTCCTCGTCTCTGCTTAACAGCAGGGCACAAAGAGCTGCTTAGGCATTCCCAGGAGCAGAGAGGGACCCAAGCCAGGGCATGCTGAAATGCACAAAGTAGGATTTATCTTCAAAGAAATATTTCCCTCCTTTCTGAGCTCTTTTTATTTTTTTTTTCCAAGGGATTTATTCCTCCTCCTCCCCTCCCCAGGCAGGCTTTGAGGCGTGGAAGCACTTTTTGCCTCCCCACAGTGGCTTTTCAATGGTGGGAGAGTGACTTCTTAGAAAGCTGCGGGCCACCCAGGGGCAAAGCCCGGGGCTGAGCACGACTGCACGCTTTGCTGCTGGTGACATTGCACAGCCATGAGCACGGTGAGAAAAAAGCTCTCCCCTTCTCCTGTTGACCACGCTGAAGTGCGGGGAGCAGCATTGCACCCCAAACTCGTCACGTTGAGTCTCTGTTTTCAGGCTTGACCTGGAGGTATGAGCTCACGGATGCTCCTAATTCCCTCTTTGTGTAGGAAGGTGCGACCTAGGCATGGATATCTCACTGTGGCCATCTGGGATCAACATCTGGCTGGGTGATGGAAGGTCTGTTTGTGGCCACAGATGGAAGGTCGCCGTTCCCGATCCTTTTTAGGGCTAATTTCTGCCCCTGCCTACCTGTACTGCCCAGGGGAAGGATGCCAGCTTCCCCAAAAGGCTCTCTCCTTACTGGAGGGGTACCCAACACTGAGATAACAGGTCCTATAACCCAAGCTAATGTGTTATATATGAAGTATATGAAGGACCTCAGGGTCAAAACCAGGGAAGACTCTGCTGAGGGGTCTGGCACCAGCAGGGCCAAAGATACCTGGTGTCATGCTCATTTCTGCAATGCTGGGAAAGTGCCTATGGACCCAAGAACACCTGGATCAGAATATGCCTGAGTCCAGCCAAAGACACGGCATTTGTGAAAAAAAAATCTTTCTCCACCTCTTCTTTTTCTTCCTTATTTTTTTTAAAGCGACTATTCAGCTTTATTCAAAACACTCATTTTGCTCCTTGCAGGCTCCTATTGTAGCACCGTGAGACCCTTTTACAAACACAATTATTTCCCTTTGACTGTTTCCACATGAAGCTGAAAGCATTTGTATAAAACGCATTGTAAATGCTCTGAGGCTTGGCCAATAATTTCCTGGGCACACATTTGTTAATGTATTCTGCAAAGTGCTTTGAAGATGAAGAAAACCAGCTGTGATTTATAATGATGATGAGTATGACTAAACAAGGTTTCTGCAAGTAGTTGTGGATAATGAGCTATCCCTGGGGACTGGACATTGGGTACAAACATGCGCCAAACACAGAATCATAGAATGGTTTAAGTTGGAAGGAACCTTAAGACCATCGAGTTCCAACCCCCCTGATATGGGCAGGGACACCTTTCACTAGACCAGCTGTAGTGGACAGATTACAAGATGGAGTCTGCTCCGCCATTGTCTCGAGCATGGAGTTAAAAAGCCTGGATGCCACAGCTAGGCTGCTGCAGGAGCCGAGCTACTTGCAAAAGCTCCAGGAGGCACCTAGCAAGCAAGCAAAGGCAGGCAGACTAGCAAAAAAAAAAGATAAAAAGTTGTTACAATAAAAAAAGGCAGCAAGGACTTACTCTCCCAAATAAGATATTCCAGGAAGATCTTACTTGGAGACTGGGGAACCAGCCAATGGACACTCAGGGCCTGTCTTGGTACCAGGCGAGCTTTGCTGGGATACTGGTGAACTGAGCAGTGGGCACCCAGGGGCTACCACGAGGAGGGTGTTTAGGGCCGTGCCTGGGGACTGCTGGGGGGGTTGTTTGAGGATTGCTGCGGGAGCTGCTGCCACTCTGTTACCCTGCCGGTTCGGCTCATTCCTCAGAGGATACAAGGCGACCAGGGAAGAGGCCCAGCAGAGAGAGATCTACCAGCTTGCAAGCCAGCAGCATTTCATGGTGGTGGTAACTCCTGCCCTGTGCTTTTAACAGTTACCCTTAGCTTTCCCCACTTTTCTATATTCCTTCTTTGTCTCTGCTCTTTTGTGTTACAAAAAGTTGAATTATCATTTTGGGATCCAGCACCTGGCCTTATTTGTGCCTTAATCTCAACTATGGGAATGTTTTAGAACCTAGTTCCCCTCTGCATCTAAGTGGATTGGAACACCAGGTTGCTCAAAGCCTCATCTAACCTGGCCTTGAACCCTTCCAGGGATGGGGCATCCACAGCTTCTCTGGGCAACCTGTGCCAGTGCTTCACCACCCTCACAGGAAAGAATGTCTTCCTAATATCTAATCTAAACCTATGACTGAGCAGGACACACCACCTATTTCCAGCACAGCTCCTGTTGTGTGTCCTCTGTGATGGGAATAAGTCCCTGTGCAACTTTAATAGATGCAGGATTTTGGCAGTATTTGTTTGAAAAGGGCTTGATCATTTGTGTCTGTTCAAAGTGTGGTGGGATGTTCCAAAACACAGGACATGAACCTTGGTGGAAACCCCTCCATATCTTTAGAAACCACAGCCACTACATGTTAGAGGTGTAGTGCAAAAATGGAACCGTTATTTCTTGTTAACCCCTCCTACACCTACTGCTGTTCATTGTTTCCCATGTTAAGCCCTGTTGGTTTTTTTGCTAATGGCTGTGTTCTCCATCTCAAGCCAACAGCTTAACAGTGCATGAGACGTGCTTTGCACACGTTTGTCCCAGGCTGTACGTACCCCCTGGGATTCCACAGAGAAGTAAGGTATAATTAGGGCTTATAAAGAAACTGTTGAAAGTCTTAGTGATAAATTATAATTATCATCTGCCGGGGAAAAGATATAGGGTATATCTTCTATCAGAGATTATGACTATCTCTACTTTATTTGATCCTTTTTAATTTCCTATGTTAAATCTCATTAATTTCCTGAAGAGAAACTGAAGGCAGATGATAGTCAAATAAAAGGGATCCTGGAGTGGGATCCAGAGCCTTGGGCAGACTCTGTAAGGTAGAAATGCAGGTTTAGGAGATGGTCTTTGCTGATCTTTTTTGGCTAGTGGCGAGATGTGTGTGCAGCTCATGGTGATTGTGATCAACCAGCAGCTTGCCAGGAGGTTGTTTTTATTCCTTTGCTTCTGTTGGTGTGGTGCTGTGGAAGAGTCCCAGGGGAAAGGGCAGGAAATGATGCCCTAGAGAGTGGTGGGATGGCACAAGAAATTTCCAGGCTAAGGAGCTGCAGATGCTGGAGAGGCTCAGCTCAGGCTCAAGGAATCTCCCTAGCATGGGGTTCGCTTTCTCTCCAAATCCCTTGGAAATAGTGGCATGGGCAAAGTGGGCATCACTCCTTTCTCCTGCTTTCCTACACCATCAAGATTCTCAGGACAAGCTGGCCATGCAGGTGCATGGTGCAGGTGAAATTACCATCTCCATGTCCCTCACATGACTCCTGTCACCTATGTAAATTTTTTTCCCCCAACTCTCTTCTTGCAGTGGACTGCAAAATGTGTTTGTAATATCTGGAAAGAGCCTGCATCCAGAATCACAGAATGGGTAAGGTTGGATGAGACCACAGTGGGTCATCCGGTCCAACCTCCCTGCTCAAGCAAGGTCATCCTAGAGCACATTGCACGGAATATCATCCAGATGGTTTTTGAATATCTCCAGTGAGGGAGACTCCACAACTTACCTGGGCAGTCTGTTCCGGTGCGTGGTCACCCGCACGGTAAAGAAGTTTTTCGTCATATTCGTGAAACTTCCTGTGCATCGGTTTCTGCCGGCTGCCTACTGCTCCACCAAGAAGAGCCTGGATCCATCCTCTTTGCACCCTCCCTGCCCACATTTATACATGAGTTCTGAGGCTGAACCAGCTGCCTGCGCTGCAGCGCCTCAGCTCCCCGCCCGCGCAACTCTCCCCCCCCCCCCCGCGCAAATCGCCGCACGAACCCTGGAGCAAACTGCACCCCCCGCGCACCCCCCGCGCATCCCCCGCGCATCCCCCGCGCACCCCCCGCGCACCCCCCGCGCATTCCCCGCGCAGCCCCCGCTCGCTGCCCCGGGTCCCTCGCGCTCCCGGCAGCGGTTTAAAACTGCCGCGGCGCTCCCGGCCCCGCCCGCTCCTCGCCCGATCGGCTGCCGTGAACTTCCCGGCCCTGCCGAGGCTCTGCGCTGCTGCTGCTCGGGTGTCCCTGAGCTCGGGAACTCCCCCGTACAGCCTGACCTGACCCTCATCCCCGGACGTACCTCGGTCGCCGCTGCTGCCGCCTCGTCGAGCGTGTCTTACAACTTCTTCCTGCGTTGTAAGATGTTGTGTGGGAGAAACCTGGGTAGATGCCGGGGAAAGGAAAGAAATACTTGAAAGACCCAAGGGAAAAAGCTATAGGACAATGCAAATTTGGCTGCTGTAGCTGTTTATCCCTTGAAAGATGAATGCTCCAGCCCTAGAGCACCCAAAAAGACACGAGATTTTAATCCTTGCTCATGCACTGGCCTCTCAAGCAAGCTCCTCTCTGCAGTGCTTTCAGCGTTCAGGCTGTGTGGCTGAATATGTTTCCTGATTTTTCTCTCCTTCTCCTTCCTCTGTCATCCCCCTCGGCTATTCCCCATGTTTTTCATCACTCTCTGTGAAACAGTGGGAAAGGAGCAGCTCTGTCTGACTGCCTGCGATTATGGGAACTCTTATCTGCAAGCAAACAAAGTCTCTGTTTGCCAGGGAAAAACCTGAGGTTCCTGGGGTTTATGGAGCAGAAAAACATGTGTTAATGCTTTCATGGCTCACTTGTGAAAGAGTCGTAAACCTCGGTGCCCTACTGATGCATGTTTTCCTGCTTACTCTTTGCTCCCATGGCTTTCCCAGTGAATGGATTCATTTGCTGTTTCCCTTCTCTAGCTATTTAACTTTTCCTGGTAGAGATGGGCAGGAATTGCAGATGATCTCTGAGCTTTAAGAAAACTGTGCTTCAAATCTAGATGCAAGCACTGTGAAACCTCTTGCTAAGTCCTGTCAAGGACTGAACTGTTTCAAATCCTAACCTCCTGTCTTTTGGCCTCTGCATCTGCCATTTGTTTCAGTGTTGTTTGACCCTTAGGTGGTTGTTGGGTCCAGTTACTGGGGTTTTATCTTTCTTAGGATCAGATACTTGTGAATTCAAACTGTGCCAATATTTGATGTGGTCTGAGGCACTGCAAAATCAGCCAGATCTTGGGAGAGATGTTGTTATGGCTTCTGAATGCCTTGTCCCAGCTGTAACAGCAGACTGGTATCTGGTGACCAAGGATCAAACTTGGAACTGTGGGTCATGGAGAACTTGAAGTGTGGCTGAGGGGAGGTTGTGTTAAATGAAGCACAATTACATGAGAACATGGAGATGGACCCAAGGGCAGGAACCAGGGAAAAGATGTGGCGGTAAAAGAGGAGGAGTGATGTTTGTGTGGAAAGACACAGATAAAGAGAAGAGCAGAGTACCTGGACATATGAATAGATTTTGAGCTGAGAAGCACCTTTCTGACTGTCCTTGTGTCTGTCTTTGTCTTCCTCATTCTCGCATGGGACTTGCCATATTTCTCCTGGACTTCTCTTGGAGTTGCCACTGGACTGTTTGCTGATACCAGCAACAGCTCAGTGTAAATGCATCACAGACATATGAATCTTGCAGAGCTGCAGAGGAAGATGAGCTCTTCTTAGGAGTCACTGCCTTCAGAGTAAAGCAGCCGAAATATTTTATGAGTTGTCCCTGGTCTTCCCAATCCCTGTCAACTCTTTTCTTTGCATCTCCACACAAGCATCACCTTTTGTCTAGTGCCTCGAGCATGTCTTGTGCTTCGTTCCTCAGAAGAGACCCAGCAGTCTCCAAAGCTATGGGGCAGAGTGGCTCAAAGGCTCCCATTTGCTAGATGAGCCCTCTGTATGCCCAGAGGGAGCAGGAGAAGCCTCAGATCAAATCATGATCTGGGGCTTGGAAGGGTGATTTCTTCTTTGGATTAGAGCTCACTGATCCCAGTAGATGTGGTATAATGTGTTTAGTGGTCTCTCACTGGTTTCTGGTTGTACTTCTGAATGCACTTTGCAGGTGACTGCAAGGTCTTTTATGCATAGCCATTTCTCTTTTGAACAGGGGACAACTTCAGCCACAGTAGCTCTCATTCCCTAGTCACACAGAATCACAAAATCAACTAGGCTGGAAAAGATCTCTGAGATCATCAAGTCCAACCTTTGACCTAACACCACCTCGTCTACTAGACCATGGCACTAAGTGCCACATGCAGTCTCTTCTTAAATACCTCCAGGACAGTGAACACCACCTCTCCAGGCAGCCCATTCCAATGTCTGATCACTCTCTCTGTAAAGAATTTCTTCCTAATGTCTAACCTAAACCTTCTCTGGCACAGCTTAACACTGTGCCCTCCTGTCCTACTGCTGGTTACCTGGGAGAAAAGACCAACCCCCACCTCGCTACACTCTCCTTTCAGGTAGTAGAGAGTGATGAGGTCTCCCCTGAGCCTCTTCTTCTCCAGGCTAAACAGCCTCAGCTCCGTCAGCCTCTCCTCATAGGTCTTGTACTCCAGTTCCTTCACCAGCCTCATAGCCCTTCCTTGGACTTGCTCCAGCACCTGAATATCCTTCCTGAACTGAGGGGCCCAGAACTGGACACAGTACTTGAGGTGTGTCCTCACCAGAGCTGAGTACAGGGGAAGAATCACTTCCCTGGTCCTGCTGCCACACTGTTCCTGATCCAGGCCAGGATGCCATTGGCCTTCTTGGCCGCCTGGGCACACTGCTGGTTCATGTTCAGCTTCCTGTCAATCCAAACTCCCAGGTCCCTTTCTGCCTGGCTGCTCTCCAGCCGCTCTGTGCCCAGCCTGTAGCGCTGCAGGGGGTTGTTGTGGCCAAAGTGCAGCACCTGGCACTTGGTCTTGTTAAACATCATACCATTGCTTCAGCACATTTATCCGGCCTGCACAGGTTTATTGCCTTTGTGGGGTGCTTTGGCCCTTTGCAGGCTTCAGAGGAGCAGCTGGGTGAAGTAGCTCTGTCTGTTGGGGACTGGGAGAGCAGGGAAAAGGTCTCCGGCAGAGAAGAAAGGACAGGGCAGGAGAAGAGGGACAGAGGGATGCTGTGCCAGCAGAAGGGAGAGCCCAAAGCAGAGGGCAAGTTACAACCTTTCAGTCTCTTGATACTGAAAAGTCTTACTGCCATAGTGATACTGCTTGAACAACAGAGCCAATGGGGGTTCAGGGGATGCCAGACAGAAAGGTGTTTTGCTCTTCTTTGGCCAGAGCCAGGGAGAGCTTTTTGGGAGAGCCAGGGGTTGGTGGAGGGGGTTGTGGACAGGAGGTTGTGTTCGTCTCTCCCTCTTTCCCCAGCCTCCTCTGCAATGAAGGGTCCCTTCCCCAACAACCCCTGGAGTTGGAAAGGGGACTTGTTTGGAAAGACTAAGGCAGGAGTTCATTAAATTCTAATTATCATGATGTTATAAGTACTTTGATGCGTAAATGATGTGAAGCTGTGGCTGCCTCGTCCCTGGAAGGGTTTGAGACCAGGTTGGATGGAGCTTTGAGCGAAGGTGTCCCTGTCCATGGCAGGAAGGTTGGAACTAGACGATCGTTAAGGTCCTTTCCAATCCAAACCATTTTGTGATTCTATGATGAAACTGAAAACACCTTTTCTGTGCTTCTGGGATAGAATCCAGGGTGAATTATTTAAGCATTCAGAAGATCAAGGCCAGATGATGTTTGATACATGAGAGAAACTGGATGCTGCACGTATTGAGTAGCCTGTGCTATGGGTAAACAGGTCTGTCCAGGAGAGACTGTGGGTTCACCACATCCTGTTATGGCTACCATGTACCAAAACCCATGGGAAGTGCAAGGGAGATCCCAAATAGCAGGTGACTGTCTGGGGAGGAAGAAACATGAACTACAAGGAAACACTAGAAAAGCTGGGATTGTTCAGGCTAGAGAAGGTTTAAGGAGAGGCATCGACATGCGAATACATGAAATATGTAACAGAGCAAAAGTTTAAGCCGTTTGCTATATCCAACATAAACAGGACATGAAATAACATCCTTAGATTGTACTACAAGAGACCAGATATTGGGAAAAAAACCCTCAGCTTTTAATAGAGAAGCTAGTTAGGACTAGTTTAGCCTGTCTTGAGGGATGGTGGGATCTCCATCACTGGCAATTTTATAAGGGATATACTAATACCTAGATTTAATACCTGACATGCTGCTGCAGCCAGACAGATGATATGGGCAAGGATCTCCATAATCTCTTTTCCTGTCAAACCCTGTGTGCTCATAGATAAATGTTGATGCGTGAGCCTTGTACCCACACACAGGAATGTGAGTAACAAACCTCATGGCCCTCTGACAGCAAAACTAATGGTTTGGTCCAGTGTTCTGAGTTCCTATTGCTGAAGAAAAAGAGCTGAGTGAGAGTGGATGCTGTGTTTCGATGATAGGGGAACTCATGTTTTTAGGGATCCTTATAGGAGGTTACAAATACTGCAACCTCATGGCATGTGACTGCCTTCTGGTAAGAGCTCTGAAGGTTCAAATATATTCAGAAGATGTGGCTGTTGTAACTTGGTAATTGCTGGGTTTATGCCAGGTGCACTTTAGGCCAGCTGATGAAACCAGCTGGATCAGCTGTCACCTGCATCACTCACAGGTGGCATAATGCTCATACCCCCCCAGCTGTGCTCTGGGAATTCAAGAGTAGGATCACCATCTTGCCACGAGATCGATTTTTTACGAAGTGGTGACCTACTGGTGCCAGGATCTGGTACTGCTGAGTTTCTAGGGATGGATTGACCCCATCATATCCAAGAGTGTGTGATTCCCCCTGACTGTCCTGGATGGGCAGA